ATTTCTTGACATTAAACTTGCTTCTCTTTCCAAATTGCAAAAGTTTTTGGTTTTTACGTTGTATTTTTTTTTATAACCATTTTTTCTGAATGGTGAAAGTTTAAACAAAATCGAATAAAAATAAGAATTGCTTATATTACTGAGATGAAGGATTGGACAACTTTGCCATGTGTTCCAACACACAGGTATGACTCAGCCGTGTATTTTCTTTTTAGAGGACCTATACAAATATGCCTTGCATACAAATAATTGAGTAGTGCTCGAAGGGAGAAGGCACTTTTGAGAAAAAAAGAAATTAATCATATGTTTGTACATGACATATGGGAGAGTTGCCAGTGACTACATTACAATCCACTGACCAAATTGCCAATTTGAGCTTTGCATAGCTTTAGTCGTCTCATATTTCAAACATTCATAACTTCCTTTTTATTGGTCCGATTTATCTCAAGCTTTCACCATTTCTGTATCTCTTAATTTTCTGCTTGTATACATATCAACTTATTATAAAGCTAAAAGGTTGGATTGCCCTTTAAAAGGTTATATTGCTCAACCTAGTCTCGTCGTCGTCCTACGAGTCATGACTGACCATTTGTGACCGTATTGTTCATGCCAGTAAACTCTTTTATTCCGTCAGCCCATCAAACTTTTGGCCTACCACGTTGTCGTCGACCCTCAACATGACCTTGGGTAATATACTTCTCCAGGTTGTCACCTTCTTTCTTAGAAACGTGTCCGAAATACTGCAACTTGTTCTTATCTATGTTCTGGCATATGATGACCTTTGCTCCAATTCGGTTCTTGACAAAATCATTTGATTTATGAGCCTTCCAGGATATCCTCAACATCTTCCTCCAACACAACAATTCGAAAGCGTGGATTTTCATTATGCTGCTCCAAGAGCCCACGTCTCTGACCTAGTCTACGGTACTTGTAAATCATACATGTATCCTATGGTTTTACATATAGCAATAGAAAAGGATAACAAAATGTATAGTATAGAGCTGCAAAATATACAAACTTTGTCGCATAATATACAACCCATTTTATCTTCTGTATAATGATATATAGAAGTGAACATAATTTATTGGGGAAAGAAGATCATCTGCACGCTCTGGTGGCTTTTATAAAAGCGACAGGTAGATATCACTCATTGTAGCTGTTGAGTTATAATAGCTTTTCCAAAGTGATGTAAAGAGCCAACTGTATTTATTTATTCTTTTATTATATATATATAGGCCTATACGCTAATTTTTATTTAGTATTTATATCATTTCATGTTCGCCTTCTATGTCTCTTGAGGAGGAAGGAAGGGAAAAGTATAGTTTAGCACTGCACAGTTAACTTTTATTAATACTCACACCCTGTTCACGGTCGATACCTGAACTATTGCCCGCACCATCGATTTAACGGTTACAACCAACGAAAAGAAGCTGTGAAACTCAGTGGCGACCATTCGAGGAGCAATATTGATGAAAAACGTAACACTGAAATGACTGAATCAATATTTGAGCCAAAGAAAAAAAACAGCGCCATCTAATCATCATAGATGAATAATTCGAAGAATAGTATAGCTTGTAGGCGGAAATAATTTTTGTTCAGATCGAACAGCCTTAAAACCCAACAACAACAACAACAACAGCGGGGGGGTGTAAGAGGACACGTTTTTTGCTTTTGTTTTGGTCTCGAAATTTGAAAATTTGACATTTGGCTCCGTTGGGGGGTCAGCCATGGGAATAATTTTTTTTTTTTTTTTTTTTTTTAAATAATTAACAACAAAAAACAAAAACAACAAAAAAATCAAAGGGGGGTTAGGAGGGATGGGGGGGGGGAGGTTAACACAAAAATACCAAAAGGTTAACCCCCCCCCCCCCCATGTGTACGCGCCTGTACGTCACTAATGACGCCTCTTGTGCAACAAGCATATAAAACTGAATACTGGGACTCATTCATATCAGAAATGCCCAACTCAAATGTTTCAGCATCCAACATGTATTCACCCCCTCTTTTTTCATATCATGATAATTATGAACTAGTCATCAAACCTAGTTCTTAAATCCTGATTAATATCAGACGTGACATTACGTGAAGTCAAACCCGCCATACAAAGTAAACGCAATGTGACAACTAACGGTGACGCAACACTAGTTCTTTAGGTAGAAGTGACATTTAGAGATGCCCAAAGTACGACAGGAGTGAGAGGCGAATCTCTCTGGGAGTTGTCTCCCTGGATTGCTCCTGTATCACAGTTATGTGCTTGCGACATCCTTACAGAAACAGATAGTCATAAAACCTACCCTTAAAAAAAAAGTTTCTTTCATTACTATAATATACATTGTATTGGCTATAAACAACAATATACTTGTATATGTATTAAGCGTATGTTACCTTGCTTTAATGTTAAAAGTGATGTTTCAATTACATTATTGCAAAATTATGTCATGAAGTATGTTAAAAATAAACTTGATAGACGTATGTGCCACTTTGACCGACATGGCGCATTACAAATGGTCACTTTTTATTATAAGTTTTCTTCTTATTATTATTCTTTATTATATCCCCAATACTAAGAATCTTGCAATTGATTGGTCTAAACGAGGTCACATGATCAATGATAGATTGACCATCACTTGAGCTGTGAGTAAGGGGTGTGATAGTACTTCTGTACAGTAAGCAAATATTAACCGACTACGAAGGTAATGGTATAGAGATATCGACTGCTTCGAGAGAGGACTGGCTGTTTTTATACGCTCAAGGGAAAGTTGATTCCGCTGCCATCACAGTCGTAGCAGTCGATATCTCTATACCATTACCTTCGTAGTCGGTTAATATTTGCTTACTGTACAGGTTACCCCCCCCCCCCCTTCAGTTTTTTGTATATGTGTATTTTAGAGCAACCCCCCCCCCTTGTGTTTTTTTTTAAATTTTGTTATGCCTAAAATAATGACCTTATCCCCCCCCCCCCCCCCCCCCCCCAACGGAGCAAAATGTCAAATTTTAAAATTTCGAGACCAAAAAAAAAAAGTGTCCTCTTAATGAATAGATTCATGATATCATTGAGGTGTGAAGTATGTTTTTTAATATGATTGTATTATTATATCCTCTATACCAATATCGCCTTCATTTTAACCAAGATAAATTTATTTAATCAAAATTACGTTTTATATCGAGGTAACAAATTGGTAACAAATTAATTTGTTTCCTGTATTTGCTTTTTTTTTGCTATTTTTGCTTGTTCACGTTGTATATCATCTCATGTCAAGGCCTTCTTGCCCATCTATCAATATTGTTACGTCCTTCACCGTTACAACCACTTCATTCAAATGTTAGTTTTGTTTACGGGAACCTATATAATCTACAAGTTGAGCTTTTCAATAGGTTCCTCACATTTCACCCTGTATAACCTTCTTTTCATTACAATTAATTTCGACGTCTTTTCAAAGAAGTAATTATATAATGTGACACTTTTAGTATATTTCATAGTATGTTCTAATATTGTCAATTATGTGAATTCTTGTTTGTGAAATGTGAAACAAATAAACTTGAAACTTGGAAGCATTATGATATATCCAAATAAAATGACAGAGAGATGAGGTTACTGAAAGCGATTTTGCAAGAAATTGAGAGTTTTTGTTTGGCTCTATAGGAAGAGGAGAAAATTTAGTGAGCAGAAGAGAGGGGAAAGATTGGTGCTTAATAAAGTAGAAAGAGATAGGGAGTCAGAAAGGAAGCGAAATATGACCTGAAAAGATCTTAGATCTTAGATTTAAGATTTGTATTTAGAATCCAACCTTAGGTTTTGGTTGCAATAAAGAATTAATGATAACAGATGAAGAGAGTTGGAAAGAGAAAGATAAATGAAGAGAAATTTCGTCATTTATGTAAATGAGTAATAGTGCAGGTTAAATCGACAATAAAAGGAAACTTGTACAAGCATGAGAAAATAACATTTTCTTAAATATCGGAACATACAGCTGCTCCAAAATTCACAAGGAACATCCGGACAATGAAATACTCATTTCCTTGGATTAAAGATTGATCTCCTGATGACAGAATAATGTTAAAGGTATTTTCGTGTCCAACTATTGTACATTTAGCCCCAATTTTATCGTCCGCTGGAACTGTACATGAACTGCATCGGCATTGTAAGATAATGTAATACATATACATGTAACATCAAAAATCACGCTCATGGAGTATAAACAACAACAACAACAACGGGATACTTACTAGTGAATAAACATGTAAAGCTTAAAAACGATCACAAAGACTTTCAACAATTAAACTCTGGCAATTTCAATAGCCTGTGCCAAATATTGGAATGTTTAAACATTACAATGACATTATTACATAATCATAAACTGGTTTCTATAAACGATACGATAGGGCAGTGGAATTGCCCATATTAAGCCTTAAAGCTGATTTCTTGAAAGTGTTTGCGATCATGTCTCTCAGACCTTTTCCCCTACAGCATGCCATTTCCAACTTGCTATAAGATTAAAAAAAGTATGCATGTCTATTAATGTTCGAGTTAACGTGAAATGAGTAGTGTTTGTTTTCATGTCAATGTTAGTATAGAGGGGACACTAATATCAAGGGGGTGCATCGGTCTCACTCACACAACCGCTAAGGGGAGGTTGTAAAAGGGGTTCTATCATCTTCTTTTATCGTCCTCCGACCCACACACCCACACATAGCCTTTCATTTTCTCTCCTTTCTCTCCTTTTAATTTGATTCGATTTTTTCGGAGGGGGTAGGGTTGTCGATGTGCCCGGGCCTTTGATTATTGTGAAGTGCTGCCATTGTCCACAATCATTAAAAGTGACCATCTTTAGCGGATATTTTTATAATTTTAATTATGACTTGTACCTTCATTGTAAGGGTTTTTACGTCTGGATTATGCCTTTAAACTACCATATTCATTTCCGGTAATTGTTTTCCACCGCTTATAAACCACACGTCATAATAACCAGACTTTTAAATTCTAGTGTTCTGGGAAGTATTTTGAGGGAGGAGTTTTATCAAGGAAACTTCATAAATATGTAAGCAGGCGATATGTCTATATAAAACTTCAGCCTCTCTGGGCTTAAATCAATTGTTGTCACAACACTCCAAATGATGATGAATCGTTCTTGGTACCTCGTCTGTCTTGTATTTGTAAGTCTGGTGATCGTGGTGCATCATGCTTCTTCTCAAGGTAAGTCTTTCATAACTATATTATACAGCTAGTATACTTGTCATTGTTATTATATCACAGTGCTATTTAATTCATCGTTTATCAATATCTACTTGTTATCCTCAATATCTAACCTCGTGGACTCTGCTCTACCACTTAGTCATACACGTCGTGGAGGTGTGGTGACTAAGTGGTAGAGCAGTGGTCTCGTAACCGGGAAGTCCAAGGTTCGAAGCCAAGTCACTGAGCAAGTGCCCTTCGGTAAAGCATGGAATGCCCATTAGCAAGTCCCGTAGAGAGGTTTTAATGGGATTTAACGGTGTCGGTCCCGATTACTTACAAGCAAAACAAATGCTTTCTTTGCAGTCAGGTAAACACACACCATAACAACAACAACAACAACAACAACAACAAAATCGTTTTTTTTTTTTTTTTTTTTTTCATTATCACAACTTCTGGTTGTTGAATCAATGGGATATTAACAAGCAATAAGAAAACCGTTTACAGCCATCATAATAGTGAGATTTTAGTCAAAAGAGCGTACAGTTTTACATTGCTGTAGTAGCTATGTAACGCTAAAACCCTAGAAATAGTTGGACAAACATTTCCTCGACTACATGACCGATCAATCGGGTAAATCAAAGCTTTTGCGTTATTCACTCCGTTTGAACGAAAATGAATACTCAACTCTCAAGCAATTTTCTTTTTCTTTTCAAAATGCCAACAACTTCCCCAAATCAATGGCCGAAATGCAGTTTAATCGATTTATCATGATGAAGGGGGGGGGGGGTGTAGTGACACAAAGATAACCCTTTTGAGTATAATGTAGGCGGTTCACTTATTTATCCATTACTTGGTTTCACCAATCTTAATAGGTAATCCAACCTTTGTAATAACTTCAATTGGTTCTCGGATAATTACCCCCTGACAATTACCCCTAGGATAATTAAGGGTAGACTTCCCCTTTAATGAAAAGGGTGTGGGTAATTTTCGGGGTGGGGGTAATTGTCAACATAATACGATTATTCAATTGATTTGAATTGAACACTTTTACCGAATTATTCTGTTCGAAAGGGCGAAGAAAAAGAAAAGGTAACAATACTTTGCTCTATTATTGATTCCTTCATTTTTTATTTCGGAAATTAGAAACTTCGTATTGCTAAAGAGCATCTGTGTACACAACTTTCTTCTTGTTTTTCTTGATATTTTCTTACATTTCAATGAATGAACATTTTTGTGGTAGAGTACTCCAATCATTGAAAAATTTGATCAATTTATATAGATTAGACCATTAAAACTTGGTCAGCTTAAAAAATAACCCTCCCCACGATTACCATATAAGACTATTCCCGTGATTTTGATACATTTCGATGGATCTATTTCAATTCATATTTTATTTTAGAGTCCATCAGCATCTCATCCGGCATACAACTTTTACCTTGTATTTATCATGGAGTGCCGTTTGTTCACTCCGAAGTGTGGCGCGTTGACGAATGCACAACCTGTACGTGTGATAACAGCACTACAACATGCGTGGTTGAATCTTGTCAACCGGCACACTGCACTGAACACGTTAAACCGCCAGGAGAATGCTGCTCTGTCTGTCCATACGGTAAGTCTTCTGACAGTCCCCCCCCCCCCCACTCCCACCCGCCCTCTCATATGATCACACCTATGTGGGACTGTGTCGTGAATTTACTACTGCAATACATATAACAAACCCCCAAATAGATTGAAGCAGGATTTGATTGACTTAAATTTGCTAGATTGCCTGATCCCGGGACTTTTTAACTATTATTGTGTTACAAATTTGGGTTTTCAAGTTGATCCGGGTGGGGGGGGGGACACGAAATTATGCATATTTCCCTTTGTGCTCTTACCTAGCCCCTTTTCCCCCTAAATTTCTGTCTTTTTAATTATTTTATTTTCTACTAACTTCTTTTATTTTTTTTGGCCTCTCTTTTTCAAGTTTACATCATCTTTTTCCCCGAAGTGTTGCGTATAATTATGTTGTGTGTTTTTACAAATGTCTAACTTTCCCGTTGCACTTAAGTCGTCATTTCACGGCACTGTTTTGTAAAGGTAACAATTTAAAAAGCAGTCAGAAGAAACTACAAAAATATTATGATTTACTGCGTAAATGGTTTGAAATAATTAATATGGAAATAAATGCAAAGAAAACTAAACTGATGGTCTTTGGAACGAAACATAAATCTAAGAACCAAATTCTGAAAATCTGTCATGAACGAGACTATCTTGAGAATGTTACCGAGATCAAATATTTAGGCGTAACCCTTGACCAAAGTCTAAGTTGGACGCCACACATATTGAATGAGACTAATAAGATTAATCGGGCTATTTCATGCACTAGAAGGATTAAGAGTTATTCGAACTAAAGCCTACTGAAACATCTTTATTACTCCCTCATTCTTCCACATATAGATTACTGTTCAGTTGTTTGGGGCAAGTGCAAAAAGAAAGATTTACTCAAATTACAGAGGACGCAGAACAGATATGCAAGATTAGTCCTTAATGCAGACTGTCTAACCCCAAAAGACATCCTTTTAAGCGCTCTTCAATGGCAAAGTGTTGAAAAAAGAATCAACTGCCACTACTGCATTTTCGTCTACAAAATACTTAATAATCTAGCCCCTTATTATTTCGAACCTTTTGCTTGCAAACGTCCAGTTTACTATGTTACTCGTCATTCTACCTTAAATCCCTTATTTATCCCGAAACCCAAGACTAATCTTTTTCTTTCATCGCTCCAAGCATCTATAACAATCTACCGACTCATATTCGCACGGCAACTTCACTCCAAATGTTAAAAAAAAAAAAAAAAAAATCACTCCCTCCACTTTAATGCATGCACTGGTACCTAATGTTATATCATGACTTGTTACAGTTAGTTTTGTTTGTTTGTAGTTGTGTAGTCTGTAGTAGTTTTATTTCTTACCTTTTACCCTTTTGATTTTATGTCTGTTATTTATGGCATGTGTATTTGTATTTGTATTTTGTATTGTATCAATAATATCTTAAATGTTTAATATTTCAGGCCTTATGTTAATTTTGATCTAGTTGTTAAGTTGTTTTAGTTCTCTTATGGTATGTTGTTTATATAATGTCTTTGTTTTCTACAATGTATTCCATTTTTGGTAAATCTTTGTATGTACAGGGCTCTTTTGTAAAGCAGGCCTCTGGCACTGAAAAGAATGACCTGTTTTTAAATAAAACTGAATAAATAAATAAATTTCCACTGCGTTGATATTAGGGTTTCAGTTGCAGTTTCAGTTTCAGTTTTAGTTTATTTTCATATTTCACATGCTGTATGATACATTAATACATTTGGCATGTTACTTTTTTATTTTATTTTTATTCATACAAACGAAGAGAATAATACATAGGAATAAGTTAAATAAAGGAAAAAGTATGATGGAGCCTAAAGAGAAAGCAATGCTTGTAGTTCATATGCTCCGGAAGTTATAACATTGAGATAGTCTTGTGACTCATTAATATCAGACATGCCAAACTCAAATGTTTCAGCATCCAACGTTAATTCACCCCCCCCCCCCTCTTTTCGTATCATGATAATTATAAACTAGCCATCAAATCTATTTCTTAAATCCTGATTCATACCAGACGTGACAGTACGTAAAGTAGAGCCCACCATACAAACTAAACGCAATGTGACAACTAACGGTGACGCAACAATAGTTCTTGCGGCAGACGTCACATTCAAAGATGCCAAAGACACGTCAGGAGTGAGAGGCGAATCTCTCTGGGAGTTGTCTGCCTGGATTGCTCCTGTAAACACTACTCACAGGTATGTGAATATGATCTCCTTATAAAAAACATAGATGAAGAGTCATAACCTGCGTTAAAAAAAATACTACTTTTTACTCTTATTCTTGAATTTGATGTTTATTATTTATATATGTTATCCATTCTATATTGAAAACATGGTATCTTTACTCTTCGGACTACAATAATATTATGTATCATACTTTGTTCTATTTTTTTATTTTATAAATACAACCCGAATTGAATTGAGTTTAGAACAGAAACTCGGGGATGAAGGTCGTTAATGTCGCATTATCATTACTGCATTTGCCAGAGAAGTGTATTTTTTCATTCATTTTATTTATTGAATTTATCAATCACTTTCATTATTGATTAAATAAATCATTAGATAATTCATCTATTTATTCATCTATTCATCTATTTATCTATCTATTCATTTACTTATTAGTTATTATTCGTTTATTTATTTGTTTATTTGTTAATTGTCGGATGGTTTGGCGTTACCTGAGCCTGAGATGGGAAATTCAAAGTTAATCACTGTGTTCCTCGCTCAAATCAAGCCAGTGGATGGGTGCATGCAACCAGGTCATATACCAGTAATACAAGTCAGTATGTGAAGTGTTCATTTTGCATTCACTTTGGTCACTATCGGTCACAGGATAGGTTTCACCGAGCAAGTTCTCAATGTTGATCAAGCATCGCAGTGGTACGTCAAAGGAAATCGAATCATCTTCCTGGACGTCGTGTATACCTTCGTTGCTCCGTCTTTAAACTGCGACGAGGCTAATGTCTGTGTTGAGCTTAAACGTGGACGAAATGCAGTAACAACCGATGGTCGTCCTTTCAATTTTGGCAGTGACCCAGACAGCTCTACATCGTTGATTGGCTGCACTTCACTATGTGCTGGTAGGGAAGTAGGCCAAGCTATGGAGGCCCGGGGTGAAGGGGCGATTGGTAGGGAAGGGGCACAAGGCTTACCGGGTGGGTTAAAAGTTGGAGATAACAATACCATCAGTGTTAACATTGTTTACAATGACATGAGCGGTTCTGCAATATTATTTGGGGAAGGGTGCTGAACGTGGTGGAGGCTTGGGATACTTGCATTTGTTTCTACACTTTTGGGGGAGGGGGCAGGAATTTCCCGAGCCCCCTCCCCTGGGATGAAAAACATGTAAGAACACGTTAATTTTACCTTTATTTGGAGAAGGGTCCCCTTCCATGGTGCTCAAGATGGGGGGGGGGGGGGTGCGATTTTTAATTTTTCGAGGGCACAACAAAATGGTGCTTACTACCCCCCCCCCCCCCCCCCCAATTGCTTGTACTTTTACCAAGACTAGGCCAAATTTCTTATCATGTTGATGAATCCAGAATCTTGTAGTACAAACCAATACTTATATAGACGATTAACCTTATCTGATAGATTCCACAACGTTTCTTACACAATGCAATTGCATGACCAGAACATAACTTTATCTTCAAATAGCTTCTAAAGTGATACATATCATTTATTTTGTCATACATTGCATCATTACACTCACATAGCACAATATATGTGAACAAATAGGCTTGGCCAGCTATAATTAGCAGCCATCTTGGTAAAAAAATTGCAAAAGAAATTGCAAAAAGTAAATTGTAATGCCCTGCCTCCTCATTTTGATTAAAGTCCGGACGAGAAACACATTATTTTTGTTATTTGGCCTTGTATAAATCTTATATACTATCCATATTTGTTTTTTTTACCATTATCATTTATAAAATATATCGATTTGTTTCACCTTCAGAAGATTAGATTTGAAAAAAAATGAAATGAAATGAAATTTGATAGAAAGGCTCTCCTGAAATATGCATCGGAATCGGTCTAGACTTAACTTCTGGTCTGGACCCCCCCCCCCTCCACACTCTCTCTCTCTCTCTCTCTCTCTCTCTCTCTCCAAACAAAAATATAGTTAGTTGACTCAGTAGGAAATAGCTAACGATGTTATTTCTCTAAATGGCTAGGCCGTGACATATTTCCATGTGTGGATACGGAAGGAATACATTTGCATGAAGATGTCTGGCAACGAGATCCATGTACACACTGTACTTGTAACAACGGAACAGCAGCGTGTTCTACAAAGGAATGCCCCGATCCTGGTTGCAACAGGCCTGTGAGACTTAAAGGCGAATGCTGTCTATCCTGCCCATATCGTAAGTTATATATCCTAAAGTTTGTTGATGCATAGTCCTTGTTTTCACGAAGTGACGGTAGTGAGGAAAATCGTAACGCAAAGTGAATGCAATTTTTTTTCACTACCGTCACTTCGTGAAAACAGCGACGTATATGCCTAGATTACATTTGACCTGCGATTAGTCTACGGAGCCCGTATCCTACCCGTATCTCCTTTTCCGTGCGGCCTCCGTGCGGAGGCAGAAGGCGGCCGTGAGAAATTCGTACGGATTCACGGGCTCCGCGGCCTTTACGATTTTATTTCGCGGGAAGTTATACAAATTTGGAATATCGTAAGCCCGTATAGCCCGTAGACATGTCGTAGGTGGCATTGCACGATCCCCGCATGGGCATCGCACAGAGGCCTTGCGCTGATCATGCAGCAAACGCACGATTTGTCAGTGAACATGGGGGCAAACAACGGCACGGCGGCTGCATGGTCACCGCGCCTTCTCCGCGCAATCTCTGCACGGAAGCTGCACGGGCTCCATACGATTTCCGTGCGGAGGCTGCGGAGACTGCACGGTTACTGCACTGAAATTTCACGATTTCCGTACAGTCTCCGAGCAGCCTCTGTACGGATTTGCCCCGGCCTTCCCCCAAGGGCCCATACAAAATATGGCACGATGCTCGTAGATAAACACAAACATCGTAGCCCGTAGCCTCCTACGATGCCCCCAAAATCGCACGAAAAATGGTAGACCAATTTCTCGTGCGGCGCCCCGGGCAAAGGTAATCTAGGCAAAGTTACACATATTTTGAGGGATTGAAATGTTACGCCTCCTGACTCTCAATTATATAGAGGTGTATTTTAATGTTGGCAAGTGGGGGGGGGGTAAGTTTATCGCCTGTTTATTAAGTTTATTACACGAAAGTATCAAGAGTGATTCCATAAGATTTTTTTTTTCGATTTTTTTTTTTTTTTGGGGGGGGATATTTTTTTTTGTTGTGGGGTGGGGGGCTTTGGGAATTTGGAGGTTCTTACATTTCCTTTCTACATGTACCATGCTTATATTTATGTATAATTAACATACATTTACGATGTTTAACTTATTAGGCCTATTATTTTTCCAAATCCAAATGGTTAATTATGGAAAATAGCACGCAGTGCACTTTATACTGGCCTATTCGGTCTGATAGCTAAATATCGCATAACCTCCTTAAACCGCAATTATCCCTTCTCTCTTTTCTCTCTCTCTCTCTCTCTCTTTCTCTCTCTCTCTATCTTCCTCTCTTTCTCTCTTTCTCTCTCTCTCTCTTTCTCTCTCTTTCTCTCTCCTCTTTCTCTCTCTCTCTCTCTTCTCTCTCTCTCTCTCTATCTTCCTCTCTTTTCTCTCTCTCTCTCTCTCTCTTCTGTCTCTCTCTCTCACCTCCATCCCTTTTATCCAAGATGTAAGGGTGAGGAGAGTGTCACCGTTTGTCATGGCACAGGACCAGATTGGAGACCAAGTCCACCTTCGAGTCTTGATCACCTTCCATGAAAGCCAGCACACTACAAATGTTACAGGGATAAACCTGTGGAAACTCAGTGCTTGGGTAGCCCTTGATCAGACTAAGACTGGCAAAAGGTAAGATATGCCGACAACATAATATTTGCCTAAAATGCCTGAATGCCTAAAATATTGAAACTTACCCGGCTGCGACCAAGAATGACGTAAAAGTTTTTTTTTATAAAATATAGAACCTCAACAAAATCGAAAAGTTCTCAAGAACTTAGTTGAAATGCGAAAAGCGAATACAAGACATTATCTAGTAATACGTCACCAGACTGTTCACGTTTTAAGTCACGCCGCGGCACAAATGTTAGTTGGTAAGACATTTTCAATCTACATTTGCCTCTCTCCACCCAGGTTTAGTAAAATATCTATATTCCGCTCCTCAGATATGACTATAGAGAACAGATTCTTGATGCTACGCAGAGGTCACAGCAGTACGTGAAAGGCGAGACACCGGCGTTCGCTGTTGATTTAGGCATTGCGGACACTGCTGTTGTTTGTGGCACTGCCTTCTATATCTGTGTTAGATTCGACATCGACAGCAACTACCAAACGGAGCATGATCGTGGCTTTGAGTTCTCAGGTCTTCCTGATAACTCATCACTCATCGGTTGCACGTCACGGTCTACCACGATCCCTGAAGAGCGGTGCAGTACCGTAGACCAACCTGATGGTACGTAAAATCAGCACAGGCAGGTGGGGCGCAATTAATAATAATAATAATAATAATCTAAATATTTAAGTCCACTCCAAATTGTATTAAACCGAAAATGGAAATTCTTTTTGCCCAATTGATCGTGAGCCCGGCAGCCACTGAGCAGCGCCAGATGGGGGGGGGGTCCTCGGAAATTTGCACCATTCCCCCCCCCCCCTTGAACGCCAGGGGGGCCAATTCCCCCAAAAGCCAAAAATCACGTGTTTTTACATGATTTTTTTCCCATGGGGAGGGGGGACCAGGCCCCCTGGGGCCCCTGGATCCGCCACTGCATACACACACACATACACACATGCACACACACCACAAACTCACACAGCACACTCACAAACTCACACAAAAAGAACGATTAAACACTTTTTCATTTTAAGTTTTACCTTAAGATTATTATTTTTTTCTTTTTTAAGCCGCCATCCTAGTCACGTTCGCTTATGATTGCGGTCTCCTGCACTTTTTCAATTGATAGTTTGGATTAGACTTTATTTATAATAGTATGTTACATAAATATGAAGTTTCGTTATAATTTTTAAAACAATAATAACATTTTGAAATGAAGTTATCATTGTTTGTATATTTTGTATTATACCCTATATGTTTACAGGTTCTTTGTTATTCTGTTATTATATTTGGAAAAATGCAGAAATAAAATAAATAAAATAAAATAAAAATTAGTTAAATACTTTATTATGCAGCTATTTATTCAAACTTGTGCTATTTCTTTTAACAATAAATGTTAATTCTTTACTTTCTTTCTAAAGAATCTCCTGTCAAGTCTGATGTGTGGATACCGCTGGTAATATCGACGATCGTTCACGTTGTAGTCGTAATCATCGTCCTGGCCATTGTGTACTTGCGTCGTCGGAAGATTCGAAGAAATTCGAAAACCCGACAGATTGTGATGCCCACCAGATGATTTTGACAGAATAATTGTATAATTAATTCTTAAACAGGGAACTTCATGTTTTCTGTGTTATGTATTTCTTTGAGGAAAAGAGATGTATTTAATACCAACCATATCTCCGCAAAACAGACCAGTTCGTAATGGTAATAATGACCCCCAAATATCCACAGATCTTATACCAATGGAGTAGTCCCGCTTTGTGCATTTTGGAAAAATCATCGCCAAATTAATAGATGTAATTCATCTATACCGTTTGTCTGCTGTCGTGTGAAAAATAATTCCAACAGTGTTCCATATGTTGCCATAGGTGCATGAATGAATGTTTAATACATAACTCTCACCGTTGGGTTTTAAAATTTTTGGTACAAATTACATTTATCTGCCAATGCGCAGATTATATGTATATACTGGCTTATTGCTCTAGAAATGACAATCTGTCAAAGTCGTGATATCTTAAATGAGAGTAAAATCTGTCAACAAATAGTTTATTTAAACTTACATTCGGTGATTCAAATCGATCAGGAAGGCCAGTGGTGGATTCAGGGGGCACCGGAGAAACGCGTGCCCCTCCTCCTACCCAAGTGAAGAGAGAAAACACAATTGAAGAGTCATGGGCCGATAACTATTTTTGGGGTTTGTGGTTGTAAAAGGCTTTACGGACTTTACGGAAATAGCCACCGCCTCCCCTCAGCAATAATCGGGCAAAAATCTTAACTTTCGGCCGAAAGGTAAATGAAAGTTAAAGAAAGAAGAAATTAAGCAGCGCTGACATTATAACCTCTGACATTTTTAACTCTGACATTTTACCGCTGACATTTTTTCTTCTGACAAAAAAAAAATGTGGCTCTTACACCCCCCCCCCCCCCCCCCCCCTTATTCAGCGGCCATAATAATTTGTTTTGCTTTGGTTAAATGGAAATCCGATGAGTGTCGTGTAGGATAAGAATGTATATCGATGCCGCTTTTAGTAGCATAGTGTACATACATGTATATTGTAGTGTTCAGGCGCGTACGCATGGGGGGGGTTGGGGTTAAACCCGACCCCCTTAAGTTTTTGTTACTTGTATGTTTTTCGAGAAACCCTTCCCCCTCCCCCTCCCCCTTCTGAGTGCTGATTTTTTTTATTTTTTTTTATTAAAAAATAAAATAAAATCCTAATGGATGACCTAAAAAAGATGACCTTATCCCCCCCCCCCCCCAATAATGCTAAAGGTATAGTATTTATCCAAAATTCATACATAAAGATTGCAGTTTGAAAACTGTGAATATCATCGATTTTAATTTTTTTTTAGTTTATAAAATATTGGATTAGTATGGGCTAAATAATGTGAATGTGTACAAAGACGGAGTGCTCTCTTTTGGAGACGATATAATAACATAATTTTCATCTTATTACTATTACCCCACGTTATGTTACAATAAGATATGTATGACAAAATGAAGGAATTGTAAAGCATAAATAGTGACTTTTGTGATAGATAATATTTCAATTTATATAAAATGCCTATGCCTCTCGAGGCTAGCATGCAAATGTTGTTAGTATGACTATTCCAAGTTAAATTTCAATCAATCATTACACCTAAGAATTTGGTTACTTCTTTTTCAATAATGGGTATGTCATCTATAAAAATATCATACTGACGTACATGTTTAGAGTTTATGTTTTTGAAATAAATACAATTAGTCTTATTAATATTTAGAGAGAGTTTATTGGATTTGAACCAAGATGATAGTTTATTTAATTCTTAATTGAGGGTTGTAAGAAGAATGCTTAAAGTCTTTTTGTGAATAAATACGTTTCTCATATCATCATACCAAATTAAGTTACAAAACCAAAGTCATATCTAACTACCCTTTCTACACAAATCGGATCGCAGGACAATGTGTAGTGTGTGACGGGCTTAACTGTAAAGTGGAGTGGATGAATATGGACTGGATAGTTGCGTGTGAGTGTGCGTATAAACGAGAGAGCAAAATGAGTTTAATAAACAGAGAGGAAAGAGGGAAATTAAGTGTTACAGAATCGAAAGAGAAGAGAATGGTAAGGTCATAGGTGTTGCACAGGTTTAGGACGAAGCTACCGAAGTATTAAAAGCGATTTAATTTTGGACTCGCACTGTAGAGGGATATAGAGGCCAGGAAGAAAGTAGGAAGAGAGAGTGTGTGTGCGTGCGCGTGTGCATGTGTTTGAGTGTGAGAGTGATAGGGAGACACAGAGACACACATGGGCTACCTCCACTGGCGTACCTATGGGGGGCAGGGGGCAGAGTGTCCCCCCCCCCCTGACGGGCTCCAGGAGAAAAAAAGAAAAAGGGGAAAGAAAAAAAAGAAAGGAAAAGGAAAGAAAAAGAAAAAAGGAAAAGGGAAGAAAAAAGGAAAAGGGAAGAAAAAAGGAAAGAAAGAGAAAAAAGGAAAAAAAGGAAAGAAAAAAGGAAGAAGAAGAAAAAAGGAAGAAAAAGGGGGAAAAAAAAGGTAAGGAATAAAAATGGGGAAATTAAAAAAAAAAAAAAGACCATGGCCTTACGCACCAGGGGGGGGGGGGGGGGGCAGTTGACCCCAGATATTTTGAAAACGTACAGTTTTTTTCCTGAAAATGTAGTGTAGGCCTATACCAAATCCTTCAATTCTACTTTTGAAAATGCAAAAGTACCCTCATGACCAGTTCGGTCGCTCGAACTCCCTTCACTCCTTTTGCTTTCCCCCTCCCCCACCAGAAAAATATTCCGCATACGGCCCTGAAAAATTAAAACAAATGAAAATAGGAAAATATAAGTGATATAACAAATTTAAAACTCTTCGCTGGCGCGAACTGCTTGCTAGCCTATTTTGTATTAAATGTTTTCACTTGCTCGTCCCCCTGAAAAAAGAAAAGGATTAGTATTGCCTAGAATACAATTGTGCCTGCCCCGACGGGCCCCGACCTGCAACCATGGCAACAATAACACACAATATATGTACCAAATGTTACTAAAAGAGACTAATTCATTTTTCTCGCTCGCTACACTCGCTCACGAATAAAATGAATAGACATTGCTTTGGAAACAATTGTGCCCACCCTTGACCTGCAATATCATTAAATATGGAAGAGTGTTTTCGCCCTCTCGCCAAAAAGGAATTGAATCGCGTTAAACGCGATTGCGTCCATCCTGACCTGCACCAATAAAAACAAGTTTATTTATTAATTTCTATTAAAAGATAATTTATTTGTTTTGCTTGCTCGCTATGCTCGCTCGCCAAAATGGAATTGACACCGCTATAACGTGCCCGCCCCAACCTGCAATAACCAGTTAATAATAATGTACCAAACGTTATTCAAAGAAGTTTTGGTGTGCTCGTGCTCGCCAAAATGGAATTAACATCACCTTAGACATGATTGTGTAAGCCCTGCCCTGCAACAAAAAAATCTGAAATTTATGAACCAATTATCATTACAAAATTTTTTGCTCGCTCGCCAAAATAAGAAATAACACCGCTTTTAATAATCACGTCCCTGACATGGAACAATGAACCCAAGTTTATATACCATATTTTCCCTATAAAAGAGAAGTGATTTTTTTTGCTCGCTCGCTACGCTCGCTCGCCAAAATAGAAATAACACCGCTTTTTAATAATTATCACGTCCCTGACATGGAACAATGAACCCAAGTTTTATGTACCATATTTTCCCTATAAAAGAGAAGTGATTTTTTTTTTTGCTCGCTCGCTCGCCAAAATAGAAATAACACCGCTTTTAATAATCACGTCCCTGACATGGAACAATGAACCCAAGTTTTATGTACCATATTTTCCCTATAAAAGAAAAGTAATTTTTTTTTCGCTCGCTACGCTCGCTAGCTCGTGGAATTATGTGCCCACCACTAACTTTCTACAATATCATTAAAAAGAGAAATGTAGGGGGTTGCCTGCCCGCCAAAATGGGATTGACATTACCTTAAACACGATTGTGCCCGCCCCCTACCTGCAACAATGAAACAAATTTTATATAGCAATTCATTGAGAGAAAGATGTATTTTCGCTCGCTAGCTAAAATGGGTATAAAATCACCCTAAATACAATATTGTTCCCGCGCCCTGCATGGGACAATTGAACCAAGTTTAAGTGGCAATTATTAAAAAAGAAGTGATTTTTTTTTTCTTGCTCGCTACACTCGTTTGCAAAAAAATGAAATTAACGTCGCTAACAAGTGAATGTTCCCACTCCCAACTTGCAACAATACCAGTTTATATACCAAACGTTACTTAAAGAATTTTTTTTTTGCTCGCTCGCTCGCCAGAAGTGAAAATTAGCATCGCCTTTTTTGTTTGTTTCGGTCGCTTGCCCCCCCCCCCCCTGACGGAGTACCCCAGGTACGCCACTGGCTACCTCCCTCCCCTCTTTCTTTGTCCAGCCCCCCACAGTGGGCCAGGGAGGAACCTATTGATTCGGGGCAATGTTGCAAGGAAAACGGCGCTAACATAATAACGGGCAGAATCGGGCAGCCAAATCTGGTATCAACTTAAAGCTTGGACATCAGAGAAAATGTTAGTAATAAAATTGAAGCGAAAATCCCTGGAAATCCAAACATTCCTCTGGATTTATAAAAAATAAATCCCCAAACATGAGTTTTGGCGCATTTTGGTTCCTCCCTGGCCCACTGTGCGCCCCCTCCCCATTTTCTCTCTCTCTCTCTCTCTCTCTCTCTCTCTCTCAATGCAAGATTGATTAATTTGTATATAGTAGTAATATATACATGTAGATGTATAAATACATATGATGAAATATACAACAGAAAATATATATCATTTACTTTGACTGGGGATGTGTCCCATGACTTCTAATTAATCTATTGCCAGTGAAGGTCCCCCTCTCTCTCTCTCTCTCTCTCTCTCTCTCTCTCTCTCTCATGTGCTTATATATATCCACATCGTTTGTCCACATGATTGTTATACATCTATTGCAACAACATTTAGAAACGTAATTAGTTGCTTTCGCCAGAGGGTGTGCTTAGGAAACTGTTGCTCATTGATAGTATAAACTGAGATTGGTGTAATTTGGGCACGATACTTTGAAAGTTGCTTTGTTGGGCAAGACACGGCAACGAATGCGTGACCGAGTGTGTCTACAAAGATGAAATTGGCCTTTCTTTACGAGTATAGAATGCTCTTTTAATGCTTAAAAAAATAAAATGAACAGTAACTGATTATCACGGATTTTGGCGTTCTTTTCAGTACTTTCCACCACTACGATTCCTCAGAACGTTTACAAATTTGTTAAGTGCATATCATGAAAATAGAACAGTGGAAATATTTTCTGTTGTAGTAAGTTTCATGCCTCTTTTACATGAAATGGTGATCAAAACCAATACCACAACCGGTATCTAATTCAACAAAAACAAAAATACATGAAATCTTTCATTAATTTAGGGATTTTATTACCCTTCCAATGTTTCCTTTGTTTGTTAATTAAAGCAGGAAGTTATGAGGTTTAAAGGTATACACGCAGCTATATCATGTCATGTAAAACAGTCCATGATAAATATATTTGCATAAATCAGATGAATAGGCAAAATCAACTTTCTCCATCAGAAACAGATGTGACACAAGACAATTTGCATAATATTATTTTCATTTTAACAAAGAAGCTAAATAATTCTCCTGTTTAGAGCAAGGAGGGCTTTAACTCATACTCTTTTACAATGGGTTAATGCCCTTTTGTCTCTAAACAAAATATGTCATCTTTCTTATTCTAAAGCACCTATAATTACTAGTACTGTAAATAATAATAAAGAAATAAAATAAATAAACAGAAATCCTCCTGTTACATAAGATAAAAGGCATGCAGAATGCAATTTAAAGTATATAATGTAATATATTTAACACATCATTATTTGGGAGCGGGAAAAGCTCAATGCGGTGTGATAATAAAATGATGAATTTAGAATATCGTCATCATGAACACTTTGAAGAAGTTGTCTATCTGTTGCTCCAAGAGCCGAAATCTCTGACAATCTCCTACATTACTAGTAAATCATACATGTATCCCATGGTTTGATATGTATATAGCAATATAGCAGGATAGACAATGTATAGTATAGAGCTGCAAAATATACAAGCATTATCCCCATATACAACCCATTTTATCTTCTGTATGATATAACGCTACATTTACTATAAAAGAATCTAGTATCTAATAAATAATACAAATATTTACATACCTCATGTACATTATGGATAAGTAATAAAGCAATTATGGGGGGGGGGCGGAGAATATGAAACAATTTCCTTTTTTTCTTGGGTGATTTCTCAACAATAACATCTTCCAACAAATGTATATTTAATTTAGTAAGCCATCATATAGTCTTCAGATAAAATATACAACACAAAGAAGGAAAGGGGAGTAATAACATTGACTTTTGCCTGAATTTTATAAACTGAAAGCAAAATTTTAAAATCAAAGGCTTTTTTTCACTTACATATCGATGGTTTACAATACTATTATTAAAAAAATGTAATATTGCAAAATATACATATACCATCTATCTATTTTTTTTAAAAGTTAATGTAAATAAAAGCTCTTATTACTTACAAATCAGTGGTTGGCAATGTATGACCATGTATGTGATTATGTAAAATATAGCATCTTCATTTTTTTATTTAGCACTATATAAACTGTATTATATACCATTTTGCTGAGAGTTTCAGGGCCCTGTTTCATAAAACTTGTTATCGATAACAAATGCTAAAATTCTATGTCAAATTTGCTTGTAACAAATCAAATACCATGATTTCAGTAGCTTATAACAGCTACTGTAACTTGTTATTGATAACAAGTTTAATGAAACAAGCCCCTGTTTCTTTGTAAGGCAATGTTGATTCAAATGAAAGACCGTACTTTGGCACAAAAACAGTACTTTGAGTCCTGGCCAACTCGGACTGAAAAAAAAGGGAATGGTTTTAGATACATGTAATAACTGAGCCTCGCTGAGATAACCAAGTGGATCGGAATCAAAACACATATTCATGTCACATTTTTTTCCTTCAAAATACTCTTCAATTTCTGTCGGGATCACAAGCCATCAGGTTTGTGCAGTGATCCAACATTTGTTCTTGCAATAATGCTCCAATTCTTAGTTGGTCAAAGATAAGGCATTATACGGCTTTGATTGCGATTGGCCGGTTTTATATTAGATACATGCAAGTGTACAAGCGAGGTGAGGGTTAAGTGTTTGGTCCAGGGTTGAAGTTAGAAATCTAACACATGTCAGAAGTTAATCACCAACAAATTGTCGTCGGAAAAATATCGTAAAATGGAATGAGGCATCCTAGGTGTCAACGGGCCAAGGTTAGTTCACATTTCGTGCAAGAATAAGATAATTATCTGTAACAAATTAGATCCACCAGCATACTAAACCTGTTGTCTAGTATATTTTAGTTAATGCATGTTTCTCTCCTTAAAGATAAAGTTGATTTCTGGTATTGCTGTTGCATTGTGAAAGAAACTGTGTGGAATCGATCAAAAAAAGTTGATCATGTAGCATATAGGTATTGGTGTGTACTGCAAGGTTCTAAAGTCATCAAAATGATAAGAAATTTGGCCCAGTTTTGGTAAAGTAACAAGCACTATAAACAGAAAGATGTATATGGGACTACACATGATAACACGATCACATACAGTATAATGATGACATTAGGCACAGCACTAATCTATCTTTGGCAGCACTCTCAAGATATTAACTCAAAGTACAATCCTACTAGGAATGAATTCTAAGGCACTCCAAAGGCACAGCAATACCAATTATAAATGTATATGTCACTAAAAATTGCATAAGCATTTAAAGATCCCTTGAAAATGGTTTCAATCCCTCTTAAGTTCAATCAAGTACAGTGTATCGGTTGTTGTGACTGCTCTCCTTCGATCATTTAATTAAGTATAAGCTTTGGGTAGCTACATGCAAGTACACAACAATGTCCATGTACCGGTAGTTTCAAGCGAAAGCAAAATATATAAATTCTTTCATTCAAGAAAATTTAAGTCATAATGTTTTTTGGCAAAAAATATAAGTAAGCTAACCCTTTGTAATAGTTTCTATGTATATAATTTGAAAGACATCAAGAATATTATCCAGTGTTGTAAGAACCTTACACCGTGTATTGTATTTACATAGGGAATCATAAAACACATGTAAGACACTACATATACTTCACCTGTACATTCATATTGGAAATGGTGTTACATGTAAATAAACATTATGTCTATCCATAATGTCACAAACTTAAACTTAATGTACAGGCTTCGCCTCATAGCAATGACTCTGCACATACAGTTTCAGGAAATGCACGATTCACATTGGACGAGCAAGATTTCAGTGTATATGTGAATTTCTCCGTCTTCCTGGCTAGAAGTGTGGGGATATGAAATCATCATATCAACACCTACTGTACACAGAGCACAAAAGGAAAGGAAAGGAAATGTACATACATTCTATATTTTCACAGTGAAGGGTTGCCAATTTGATGATTAACACAAAATAAAGATTTTACCCTATCCATGCCCTGGGAGGCACGACCCAGCCAACATCTGGGGGGTGTTTCACAAAACTTATCATCAGGGACAACTGACAGATTTTGTTACAAGCTACTGAAATCCTTGCTTCTGATTGTTTATCACTGACTTTTGTCATTTGTCATTCAAAAAAGGCTTTGTGAAACGGGTCCCAGAAGTTACATTGTAGCTAGAATGTTTTTGTGGGGGATAACAAATAGTAAGTTCCCTTCCCAGGGCAAAACAGGTACATGAATTAGATACCCTTACATGTTTTTAATCCATGTACTACAATACATATTACAATAATATATAAATTTGACCTCAACACAAGAAATGTTAGAATGTCTTGATGGATGCCTGCTTGCGTATTGTGCACAGCTATGTTCTGGCAAGCTTTGCTTCTGTCTTTCCTTTCCATCAGGAATGGCAATATAGGCACTCATCAGGCTTTGGGACCATGGCAATCAAGTTGAAATGAGTTGTACAAAGACTGGCTCCTCTTACTCGCTGCGTAGGAATAGTTCTGTTTCTCCTGGCTCACTTGATCTTATGAAGCTTGAGGAACTCGGCTGCTTCTTTGTCTGAAGACCTCTCCTTGAGAGTCTGGACGTACATCCATGCTTCATCCTCTGATCAATACAGAAATAAAAAAAGAGACAGTTAACATAGAATGACACATTTGTAGCGCTGAAGCTGACAGGTTTAGCTTAAGAGTTTTAACTGTGTGGTAACCGAATGATTAAATGATTAAAAGAAGTTACATGTAATCTATATGTATCAAAACCCTGCACCAATGGAGTGCCAGGAGTGGCTATGTGCCAGACACGAGTGCTACATGAGATTCCACTGTTATTATCATTATCGTTAACTCTGTAAAGTCTTGGATGTTGCCAATAAAGAAGTGTGCAGTACCTTTAGTAACACCTGGTAGAAGATGAAGTGAGATGGGTGATTCTTCACCAAGGTTCTTGCTCTTCTTGCCATGCACACCAGGGACATCGTTTATCTGCAGGTACGCCTCACCACCGAAGTCATTCTTTAGAAAGCCATAGCCCATCAGGAGGAAGTGGACGGTAGCCCCGTAAGATAACACCTGGTTGTGCGGCACATTGCTGCGGGGATATCAATCAGAATGAAAATAGTGACCTCTCTCATCCCTTGAACGAGCAATCTTTACAAATTTCATGGCTTATGTGTACATGTATCACCAAATGAGAAAATTCTAAATGTGTCGGTTCATATATTTTGCTGTATTGAACTCGGGAGCATTAGATATTTGTATCATATTTACATGTACTCACAATTCAAAGGTCTCATCAAAGAGCGGATGCAACGTCTTCTTGATGACCTGTGTCTTCTGGAAGTGAGTCTGAGGAAAGACGAGGTGAGGCTGTAGGTACACTATCACGTACGGATCACTCAAACCTGTATTGGGAAAGTAAGCGTCAAAAACCTTTAAATTGGCAACAATCTACAATGAACATGCATGAATTTGAGGAAGTTTAAAGAGAGAAATTTGTCTAGAATGAATTTAACCATATCATCCACAATTAAACATCAGATGCATCATCTACATGTTATGAAACATGACCACGATCTTAGTATCCATTCATTGTGTCCATGCGATGGGCCAGAAATGGCATGGTGGTACAGAGCACATTGTCGAGATAGCAGGTTCAAATTATCCTGCTTGAGCTTTTTCCTCCTGTCACGTGTCATTCATATGCGGATGAAGCAGCCAATCTCTGAACTAGTAGAACATCCCAATTCTGTTTACAAGACATACTACATGTATGTAGAGGACAGATAAAATCAATGGTTTTACAAAAATTTACATACTTTAACATCGATACATTCAGCAATAAGGAGAATACTCAAGATTTAAGGTATACCTACCATTGTCATCCATAGGTCTGATTTGAGTAGCATTCATGACCCTGACCCAGAGTTTCTGCTGACTCTGTTTATAATTGCACTTGATTGTAAGGGTTCCTAGAGAAGAATCCGACTGGTTTGCTGCTTCCTGAAATAAAAAGAAAAGAAGGAAGGTATATTGAATTGATTTGTATATAGAGAAATGTTGAAAAACGTCTTTAAAAACAGCTATAATCAATATCACTTGATGCCCATTGAAGTGAGAATCTTTATTGAAGTTAACTATAAGTCTTAAGTAATCTTTAGTCTTATCACTTGGACATACCTCTTCTACCTTGGATAAAATCTAACTTCATGCAATTCATATACAAATAAACAACATGTACTCTTAATCTCATTCACATCTACTATTGGATTACCGGTAGAAGCTTTCTTATTCCTACATCATTATTGACTCAATTCCTCCAAATCATTTCAACCCGCTTTGGTTCAACCTAGCTAGCATATAACTCAATTCCACTCCAGCACTCAACTCAACCCAACTCAACTCAACTTCACTCAATCTGAAACTATCCAAACTCAGCTAAACTCGATTTTGTTGATGTCAATTCACCTCCTACATGACCCTACCCATCAGATACCTTACCATCAGTCTCTACTCATCTCAACTCATCTTAACTGATCTCAAAAGCACCTGTTGAACTCAAACCCCCAAAATCAAATAATCTCAATCAATTTCCAATTCACCTCCTGTATGACCCTAGCTATCAGATAAACTACAATCAGTCTCAACCCATATCAAACTCATCTTAAATCATCTCAAAATCACCTGTTGAAATCAATCTCCAAAACTCAAATCATTTAGATCAATCTAAAATTCATCTTGTCAACTCAAGTCAAATAAGTTTAACTCATCCCTATCCATCTCAAACTCACCTACTGCATGATCCTAGCCATATCAAAATAGTATAAACACATCTTGATTCCTCTCAGCTCAGCTTCTCAGGCTCACCTCTTAACCTCAAATGAACCCAACTTGCCTTAATCTCAAACTCACCTGCTGCACACCCCTAGCCATGAGGTAGTCTTCAATCAGTCTCTTTGTGGAGGTACCAAACTTGCCCAGTTTGCCCATGGCTTCCTTGAATGCTGCACACTCAATCACTTTCATTGGTAGACCCTTTCCTTCCGCATGGAAGAAATTACCAATCACCTAAAGTTGGGGTAAAGGAATAAAAGAACTATGAACGTTCCCCACTTTCCTCAAGTCAAATCACCATTCGTGTTAACTATATAATTAATTTAATCTAAAATAATACAAGGAATTATGTCTGTGGAGCCAGAAGGATGTTAACAAAATATACCTTAACCAGGGCTCCACAATCACTTTTTTCATAGGCGGTCTAGATTGAGATTCCTAAGATGTGTATGAATGAACCCCTTGTTAAAGTGCATACATTTGGTGGGCCCTAAATTGGATTCTGGGCACCTGTAAGTGTCGAGCTCTGCCTTAACACAGTGAGAGTGAATACCCTTTTGGCTCTCAACAAACAAAATGTAGAAGAACACATCTTATCTTTTATATAATGAATAAGTTAACCTTTATTTACGATCATCAGGCTACATGATCTACTGCACTTAGCCACCCACTTCAGGTACATATTGTTTCTCATTTTCACGATGAAAGTTTACTAATACTTATCCCAAATTATTGTAATTCAGAAATGAGAATTTTGAAACAAAGCAAACTTCATAAAAAGGAACCAGTTAAAACTGCACCGTAACATCGCTATTCAGCTATTCACCTCACATTATCTTCAAGAGAAATCTATGTACTTCAAAGAAATTAAAGGAAAGAGAGAAGTAAGATTAATGTACTAACATCACAGGCATCATGCATTCTCTGACCAATCAGAGGATGTTGATTTAGGGTCTGTGAAACAAAACAAACCAAACAGTTGAAACATTATACTCGTCACGGTAATGATGACACAGAATTATTTATTCTATCTGAGCAAAAGGTAACCAGTTATATCCTGTAAATAGATTAAAAGTCTTGCCATAACTTGCTTATTCTAATCTAACAACAATCATGGTCACTATTACAGATATGAACACTCAAAAATGCATATTATGTTACCTCAAACTCAATGATAATGAAAGTAAAGATATATTGTTATAGATCTATACGTTTGAAATTATGACTACCGGTAAGAATTACCACTGGAGCTAGCATTTTAAGATACAATAGGGTATCAGAAATATTTCAAGACGTATACATATTCTACACAATAAACAAGGAATATTTGTTCACCTTGTAGCCACTGTTGACCATCTCTTTCAGGATATTCAAGACAACAAGCCAAAGCTCTTCCAGAATTCTAAAAAAAAAAAAAAAAAAAAAGAACGAAAGATTTCCAGATAACTGTAGGATACATCTTAACTTGTGACTTTTTTCTTTATGCCCTTGATGAAAAAATAATTTCAAGGCAATAAGATTTTTTATATTTATCTAAAGAAAATCTTAATCCATATTCCTCATCACAAAGTTAGATTTAAACACACTACCATCATATAATATCTTAAAAGCATTTGAGATGAATTCAAAATCTTAGTAAATATAATAATAATAATATTGTGGGTTTATAAAGCGCTCACTACATAGACGATCAGATGCACACAATGTATGCACAATCTCCTCTCCCTGGGGAGCATTCCAGCCAGGCGTCATTTTACAGACATTGACAATGCTGAGCAAACTACAAAAATGACTTTTGCATTCTAGCAGGTATCCATTTACCACCTGGTTGGAGAGTGGCAGATGAGGATTCATGTCTTGCCAACGAACAGTAGTGCTTGGCTGGGATCCAAATCATTAACCTTTGATTGAGAGTCAATTGAAGTAACCACTATGCCAGGACACCTCCTAACAGTATCATCACTTACAACACTATTTAGTAATTAACTTGTTTTTTTACATTTGGAAGTTCGCCTTCAATAGACAGCTGTGTAGCGTGTTGAGATTTTTATCAAGATACTCCATTAAAGGTGTTATCTCCTGCAGGATAAAACCAACAAAAAAATAAAATGAAAAATGTCATCATCATAAATGATCTTGTTAAAAACAATTCATAAAGGATTATTCAGATAAATTTATGCCACAGCTCACTTTCACACATGTATCAGAACAAGAAACATGTCAGAACTCACCACTAATTATACGAGAGATAAATATCTGTGGAAAACTATAACATCCTTGGGGATTGACTGAAACAAAGGCATTTTTGTCAAATAGTTGGTCAGATATTATGCACGAATATGTTTGAAGATGAAAGGTGACTGAGTGTGTTCAACTAAAAGTTGCAATTCTTTAACCAATGGTTTCAAACAAATAGTTGGGCAGATATTATACACAAACATTTTTAAGATGGAAGTTGAAGGAGTGTGTTCAATTAAAAGTTGCAATTCTTTAACCAATGGTTCAAAATTTGGGACAAATTATTATTTTCTACAACTCACTACATCAAGGTTGGACTCGGGTGGAGCCGACATGAGCGGTGCTGTGTACTTCCTGAAGTCCGGCTCCATCTTCTGACCAACGTGTCTGACCACCTTACCGATCACATTCAGCATGTCCTCATCCGCACTGGCAAGCATGGTATGGAGGGTCAGTCCGCACTGCTCGGACCCCACTGACCCGTGCTCGATAAGGAGACCGTCGAGCACGCGCTCGAAGTCAAGCTGGACGGGGAGGCTGGAGAGGTAGCGTCGCACCTGCTCGATGTTGTTGACTGCTATGCAGAGCTGGTGGAGAAGTGTAGATAATTTTAATAATCATAATGATAACAATATTTGTATTCCTTTCTTGTATAGCATACATTATATCAGTCAGATTGCATAGTCATGCCACCCTGTAAGTCAGGGTGCAATATTTGAAACCACATGTCGCTAATATTAGTTGATCTCTTGTCAGTAGAGAGGTAACTCGTGTAAACACAATCCAGGCTGTCGGTAAACATTTTCAATCTATTTTTAGTGGGAGGATGTATGAAGTAACCAATCAGAGTGCTGGAATTGACATTTTGAAAGACAGATGGTGTACTTTTGTTACATTTTGCTGGATCCTGACCATATCATTAAATGCACATAAATATTCTTTCAATTTTGGAAATTAGACATATCGCCCTTTTAATACACTCATGTCAAAATTCATCCTGGCTCACAAATACAACTTTTTTTTCGACTTGTATATTTTGTTTCATTTTCAAATTTTTGTCATAATACAACACCATTTTTTACCAACTTCATCATATTTTTCCAAGACAAGAAAATGATGCCATGAATCTGTGATTCCTTCTCATTTATTTGATGTAAATCATGAAAATCAGTCAAAGTTAACTAGTCCATTCACTCATTTGGAAAATTGATGTTCCAAGTCATTTCATATCAAGCAGGTTTGAAAATGAAATTGAGCACTTTAGGGGGACCTGCGGTTTGACCAATATCTGTTTAGAGACAGAAGGTTAACTTCAATATACAATGCCCAAATAGTTCTGTCACCAATTATATGTAATATATTATGTAAACTTCATTTCAAATGTATTGATTTATATGGAATTGCATGTTTTTAATCAATATGTCGCACAAATGATTTTATACAAATATTGAATTGAAAAAAGTGAAATGATTCAAATAAAGTGAATTGAAGTGAATATCAGAGGGCATTTACCTGATCTGTAACGTCAAACTCACCCTCATCATCATAGAACTTGTTCTCATTCAGCTTTCTGTGGATGATGTTTGCATAATCTACAGCTCCCTGACGAATATCCTGTCAATAGGGTGATAGAGGCATACTAGGCTTACCATGTGTCAAGCGTTAGAGCGGCTCTTGACAATCATTCCACTGTGGTTTGGCTTAATAACTTTTGATTTACAGCATTAAAAATTATACAGAATAAATGAATAGAAAATGCAAAAGTTTCTGCCCACATTGCTTGACAATATTGCGTTTGGTGCCAGGAGTTTTCAAAAGGAAAATAATCCTTACTACCCTTAAATTGGCAACACATTGGAAGGGGTCAAAATTATTGATTTTAAATCAAAATTGGCAATTTTTCAACTTTTTAGGAGACCTTAAATATTATGAGAAAAATATTCCAATACAAAAATATTATTATTGCTAATTTGCAGTATAACATCAGTGATCAGTTAAGGCCCCCCCCCCCCGAAAATAAAACTTTCTTGAAGAGATTAATATCAACAAACGAGTACATATGAAAATAAGGCTCCATATTTTTTTTGAAGATATGAATGACAACTCAAAGTGTCGTTGTTTATCAGGTACACATATCCACTCACAGTATTACAGAACTGGTAAAAGTCTTTAACATGAACAATACAACTGTTCATACTCGGCCGTCAGATGGTAAAACGGTCTAACTCGAAATTTTGACTTTTTGAGGTAAATTCACTTTCCGGGTAATGTGAGGGCGCTATTTCCAATGGTGCTATCGAGAAAATCCCATCATGTCTTCTTTTAGAGATAATTTCTGCTATCTTGGTACTTTTTTGTATTTTTCCTTCAGATTTGATGGTAAAACGGTCTATCTCTGAGTTAGCCCATTGCCGGTAATATCGTGTGGGGGTAAAACGAGCTATCTTTAACATAAACCTTTTAACCTTCTGAATTGAGATTTTTTAATCATCGCTGTCAGATGGTAAAATGGTCTATCTTCGATTTAGTAGTATGGCAATATTGTTTATGGTCTTTCTAGAAGATAGACCATTTTACCATTTTATGGTGTGTAGTGGGAGTGTATTCATGTGCTGTGGTTAAACAGTCTATCTGCACAAAAATCTCATTTATTTTATAATTAAAACCCCAAATAAGCACAAAATTCTTCAGTTATCAGTGTTTAATATGCTTCTTCTTGTCCTATTGCTAAAAATGGATTATACCCATCTCCTAAAAAAGCTGAAACCTCTAAACTTCAAAGTCATTTTTCTCAGAACAGCGATTTTCGAGTTAGACCGTTTTACCATCTGACGGCCGTACTTTAGAAAATCATATAAAAAGTGATCAAGCATAACTGTAGTTTTAAATCCAAAGATGTTTTTTTTTAAGTCAACGCTTACATCTGTAACCTTGGCAACAAAGACGTATGCTCCATTTTTATCCGGCCAGTTCAGCTTGGTCCAGAATTCCTTGATCTACATAGGATAAAGAAAACAATCAGAGGAATGCTGTCATGGACACTTTGGTTGACACATGGACAAAAGTGTATTACGTAGAGCTGATGTGCGCTCAGCAACATCTGCTCTGGGGCCAATTACTATCAATAAAAACATCCTGATTTCAACCCTGACTTAATTTCCTACCTACATGAAACCCCATACCAAACCTAAAACACAATTTCAACTCAAGGCCTTATCCCTCTCTAGTTGATAAAATATAAAAGAACAGAAATTGCCAGATCACCTTCATGAAAGCAAGTCCTGCGTTTTAAAGAAATCCATTAAATAAAAAAATTATAAAAAATCCGAAATATAGCATTACCTGAACAAAAGTAGTTGTGACATCTACTGCGGATGAACTGTGCTTCACCATAGAGTCTACAAGCCTCAACTGTCACCCAGAAACAAAAGAGGACAGTGTGTGACGCAAAGAAATATGTTTCATAAAATTGAGAAAGTGGTAAAACAAAATACATATCAGCTCAGAAGGTAATATCATGTTAATATATTTCATTAGTTGGAAACAATAAAAGAGTATCAGCAATTTTGAGTATAAAATGATGCAATCTTTTTTCAATATAAAGGGAAGGGTCACCTCTTCAGGAAAGCCACTTGTCTTCGTTGACGGCTACTCCACAGACTTTTGAAGAAGACTAAGTTTGTGAAACCTATCTTATCCACTTGCACAACTTTTTTTCTGTACTCGATATTACCCTGTTCTAATTCATAGTTTGAATACCTTCATGTCAAGAGTTTGTAACTCACCTCATCAACTTCCACAGCCTTCTGTATGCGTGCTTTGGCCTTGCTCCTGGCGAGCTCAAACCATTGCTCCACAGACTTCTTGAAAACCATGTGATAGTTCTTAGTCTCCAAGTCTGAACGATACCTGTATGAAGGAAGGTCAGATGTGATCATTATTATGAAGGTTTTCACTAGTATTCAGTTGAACATTTGTACTTCTTGTGCTATTCCTGCTATAAAAATTCATATATTTTGAGATACATGTATAATATGCACATACACAGAGGGCATACACACACAAATCTTAATGTGATCTGGAGGTGATGGCATAAATCCACAATAATACTTTGAATTCTCTCTAACGGAAGAGTCTGATATGGGTCTGTACAATTTTGTCAAGAGTTAAATTATTTATGTCATAAGTGTTAAGTATCTCAAAAAGAACCCTTTTGTACAATCAATACAATCAATTTTCCTTCAGAAGTAGCATGAAGGCAGAAAGATGAATTCTTAACACTCTATCAATAGGTACAATGTACTCTATTGGGGGGGGATAAATAACTTCACAAATACCCTTGCTATAATACAAAATGTGACCCGGCACCACAAAACCAACAAAAAGTCGCAACCAGCGATTCTCCGTAATCAGCTAAAATGTCAATTTAGGTGAAAAAAATAGATTTATGTTTTTTTGCATTTTCTGAAAGAGTGGTCTTTTCTGTACCTAGTATCAAAATTTGGAAGTCTAAAACATAGTAGAAGATGTGTTTTAAACGGTTTTTCTAGACCAGTTTTTTTCGCACAGCCTTCGGTCTCTTCCAAAATTTGATCACTTTTCCCGAGCGAAATTATCGTAGTCCGGAAATGGTCGGTCGTTGCTAACGGGTCGTGCTACGCGGGCTGTGATTGGTCCGTTATAGCAATCAGTGCGGCGCGCCATTTTGTTTGTATCCGCTTTCACATCCGAGTTCCAGATTTGCGTTCGTCTTATATTCTCCGTTAACGACTTCGATTAGCTTGATTGTACATCACATGTCCAGAATTTGTTGATCAAGAGTAAGAACATTATTATATTTTATACATTTGAGAGTGACAAGTTGCGAAAAAGTCTACAACGTCGTTACAATGCCAGGTTTTGTACGTGAGCAGAGCCGTGGGATGGTACCGGGGTGCACCAACGCAGATGCCCGGGTAGCTCGGGCGGTCAACGAAGCGATGATGCGGGGGCTAGCTGCGGGGGATCAGGCCAACCTTACAGCTTTGCTTACTGAACACTTCGGGCAAGACAGCGACGAGAGAATTCCTGATAATGTGGTTACAAATAATTGCCCAGATGTATACAAAACAAGATAGGTGACAAGCAGTGTTATGTAAGGGGGAACAAAAAGACTCCGGGTCCACCATGAATAGGCATTGTCTAGTGCAGGTGTCTCGGCACTATGTTGCAGTTCACTTAATCTGTCCAATTACAACTCTATACATTTACAACATAATAACTTTTGAAAGACTTAAGTCCACACATTGAAACCTCAGAAACATAATGAACAGACTATGTTTGACCATCAGGCCAAATTTCAGCCTAATCTGAAAATCTCTTCATAGTGGTTGCTATGGCCTTTTGATTCACCCTTCTATTGATTTCCTTGTGGTTTGCTTGCTCCGCATGCTTGAATAGCCCCAAACTTTAAAGCTCTCTTTCTCACAATTTAATACCAGTAACCTCCCTCACCAGCTCTTTTCATTCACTAAATTGAAAGGGTTAGGAAGCTTCAATTTGGACAAGTAATATACCATTTTAATGAGGAGAACTTCTTCTTTCATAATCAGATGAAATCAGGAAAATAATTTTTTGCGACTTTTTGGTGGTTTTGTGGTGCCGGGTCACAAATGGAAACCACAAACTAAATTGCATTGTTCAAACTATCTACCAATCTATCTTTCAATCAATCTATCTATCTATCTATCTTTCTATCTATCTATTTATTTATCTTTTCATCTATACCTAAACCTTGGAACAAAAATGTGATGGATCTTGAGACACAGGTCCTTCATAACTTTCGGTGACGGTTTATTTTTTGTTTAGTTATTTCCTTTTTTGCTTGCTTATTTTGCCGTTTGAATACATGTATGGCTTGTATTGCACATGTATTTGGCTAAAGGGGCATATCAGAAGATTGAAGTAGACTCACGATCTATCTGCCGCTGTATGGAAGCCCCTGACAGCCAGGTAGAGTGAGAAGAGAGCAATGGCCGTCTGGTGGCTGTCATTACGGGAAAGCTTCCCCACACTGGATACAACATCGTTGATCTCAGCCATGATCTACAGGGAGTGTGAGGAATTGTAAGAAGATATAAACACAAATTCACAACTTGTATCGCCTAGTAAGTAAGAAAACCTGGCAAGCTTAATTAAGCAATCATCTTTCATACTGAAGATAAAAAAGATTTAAACAAAAACAAAGATTTACCCCATTGACTACGGGAAACGGGTGAACCCTGTATCAAGCCCATGAGGCTGAGAAAATTCAGTCGTCAATGGTTTAATTAAGATGAGAAGTTGAAAAAGACTACAGCGTTAATTTTTTCACCAAAGAGGGAAACCAATAATGAGATTAGACATGTATGTTAAAGCAAACTGATGCCCTTGGAGTAGGTGAAATGGTAACAAAATTAAATCAAAACCAATCTTTAGATACTGGCCTCTTCTGCTTGTTTTTAAATTTCACAATATCATTACCTAAATGTAGTAGCATTGTAGATTTTTAAAAGAATAGAATGCGATCTGAAAATATTTTGTTTTAAAGGAAAAGATCTTTACCTTGTCAGCTAGTTCTGTATGTATAAGCATGGTGAAATCAATATCAAATGCCTTCTTATAATTGGTAGATGGCTGTCTGATCTGGACTTTAACATGGTTGATCATATTCTCAATGAGATTGACTAGGATGGCTACTTTCTTGGATTCCTCTGTCTCCTCTCCGTCATCGCCTTCAAAGTCTTCATCGTCTTGGAAGAGGATGTTCTTCTTGGCTTCATGGACCTCCTCGCATAGCAGGATTTGCTTCTCACACCAATCTTTGGTGCTTGTCTAGAAAGACAGACAATATAACATTAAAAGAATTAATGATATTGATAATGGTGATGATAATGTGATAATCATCATCATGATCATCATGGTAATGATGGTGATGATAATGGTAATCATAATGGTGAGGGTGATGATAATGTGACCATCATCCTGATGGTAATGAGGGTGAGGGTGAGGGTGGGGGGTAAGGGTGATGGTGAGGGTGGGGTGAGGGTGGTGGTGAGGGTGACGGTGAGGGTGACGGTAAGGGTGATGGTGATGGTGATGGTAAGGGTAAAGGTGATGGTAATGGTGGGGGGTGGTAATGTGATGTTCATGATAATGGTGATGATAATGGTGAGGGTGAGGGTGATGATAATGTGATGATCATCCTGATGGTAATGAGGGTGAGGGTGAGGGTGAGAGTGATGGTGAGGGTAAAGGTGATAGTGAAGGTGAGGGTGAGGGTGATGGTGAGGGTGATGGTGGTGGTGATGGTGAGGGTGATGGTGAGGGTGAGGGTGAGGGCAATGGTGAGGGTGATGGTAAGGATGATGGTGAGGGTGATGGTGAGGGTGAGGGTGATGGTGGTGGTGAGGGTGGTGGTGATGGTGAGGGTGATGGTGAGGGTGAGGGTGAGGGCAATGGTGAGGGTGATGGTAAGGATGATGGTGAGGGTGATGGTGAGGGTGAGGGTGATGGTGGTGGTGAGGGTGAGTGTGATGGTGAGGGTGAGGGTGATGGTGAGGGTGAGGGTGATGGTTAGGGTGAGGGTGATGGTGAGGGTGAGGGTTTCGGGTGATGGTGAGGGTGAGGGTGAGGGTGGTGGTGAGGGTGAGGGTGAGAACGATGGTGAGGGTGAGGGTGACAGTTAGGGTGAGAGTGATGATGATGGTGAAGGAAATGGTGATGGTGAGGGTGAGGGTTAAGGTGAGGGTGATGGTGAGGGTAAGGATGAAGCTGAGGGTGATGGTGGTGGTGAGGGTGAGGGTGAGTGTGATGGTGAGGGTGAGGGTGATGATGAGGGTGATGGTGGTGGTGAGGGTGAGGGTGAGGGCCGGTGGTAAGGGCGAGGGTGAGGGTGATGGTGATGGTGGTGGTGAGGGTGAGGGTGAGGGCCGGTGGTGAGGGTGATGGTGATGGTAAGGGTGAGGGTGAGGGTAATGGTGAGGGTGATGGGGAGGGTGATGGTGAGGGTGATGGTGAGGGTGGTGGTGAGGGTGAGGGTGATAGTGAGGGTGAGGGTAAGGGTGGTGGTGAGGGTGAGGGTGATGGTGAGGGTGATGGTGATGGTGAGGGTAAGGGCCGATGGTGAGGGTGAGGGTGAACGTGAGGGTGATGGTGTGGGTGTGGGTGAGGGTAAGGGGCGATGGTGAATTGGAGGGTGAGGGTGAGGGTGATGGTGAGGGTGGGGGTGGTAATGTGATGTTCATGATAATGGTGATGATAATGGTGAGGGTGAGGGTGATGATAATGTGATGATCATCCTGAAGGTAATGAGGGTGAGGGTGAGGGTGAGGGTGAGAGTGATGGTGAGGGTGAAGGTGATAGTGAAGGTGAGGGTGAGGGTGATGGTAAGGGTGATGGTGGTGGTGAGGGTGAGGGTGATAGTGAGGGTGAGGGTAAGGGCCGATGGTGAATTTGAGGGTGAGGGTGAGGATGATGGTGAGGGTGAGGGTAAGGGACGATGGTGAATTTGAGGGTGAGGGTGAGGGTGAGGGTGAGGGTGATAGTGAGGGTGATGGTGGTGGTGAGGGTGAGGGTGATGGTGAGGGTGAGGGTGATGGTGAGGGTGAGGGTTAAGGTGAGGGTGATGGTAAGGGTAAGGATGAAGCTGAGGGTGATGGTGGTGGTGAGGGTGATGGTGGTGGTGAGGGTGAGGGTGAGTGTGATGGTGAGGGTGAGGGTGATGATGAGGGTGATGGTGGTGGTGAGGGTGAGGGCCGGTGGTAAGGGTGAGGGTGATGGTGATGGTAAGGGTGAGGGGGAGGGTGAGGGTGATGGTGGTGGTGGTGGTGAGGGTGAGGGTGAGGGCCGGTGGTGAGGGTGATGGTGATGGTAAGGGTGAGGGTGAGGGTAATGGTGAGGGTGATGGGGAGAGTGATGGTGAGGGTGATGGTGAGGGTGGTGGTGAGGGTGAGGGTGATAGTGAGGGTGAGGGTAAGGGTGGTGGTGAGGGTGAGGGTGATGGTGAGGGTGAGGGGAATGGTAAGGGCCGATGTTGAGGGTGAGGGCCGATGGTGATGGTAAGGGTGAGGGTGAGGGTGAGGGCCGATGGTGAGGGTGAGGGTGATGGCGAGGGTGGTGGTGAGGGTGATGGTAAGGGTGATGGTGATGGTGGTGGTGAGGGTGAGGGTGATAGTGAGGGTGATAGTGAGGGTGAGGGTAAGGGCCGATGGTGAATTTGAGGGTGAGGGTGAGGATGATGGTGAGGGTGAGGGTAAGGGACGATGGTGAATTTGAGGGTGAGGGTGATGGTGAGGGTGAGGGTGATGGTAAGGGTGATGGTGGTGGTGAGGGTGAGGGTGATGGTGAGGGTGAGGGTGATGGTTAGGGTGAGGGTGATGGTGAGGGTGAGGGTTTCGGGTGATGGTGAGGGTGAGGGTGAGGGTGGTGGTGAGGGTGAGGGTGAGAACGATGGTGAGGGTGAGGGTGACAGTTAGGGTGAGAGTGATGATGATGGTGAAGGAAATGGTGATGGTGAGGGTGAGGGTTAAGGTGAGGGTGATGGTGAGGGTAAGGATGAAGCTGAGGGTGATGGTGGTGGTGAGGGTGATGGTGGTGGTGAGGGTGAGGGTGAGTGTGATGGTGAGGGTGAGGGTGATGATGAGGGTGATGGTGGTGGTGAGGGTGAGGGTGAGGGCCGGTGGTAAGGGCGAGGGTGAGGGTGATGGTGATGGTGGTGGTGAGGGTGAGGGTGAGGGCCGGTGGTGAGGGTGATGGTGATGGTAAGGGTGAGGGTGAGGGTAATGGTGAGGGTGATGGGGAGGGTGATGGTGAGGGTGATGGTGAGGGTGGTGGTGAGGGTGAGGGTGATAGTGAGGGTGAGGGTAAGGGTGGTGGTGAGGGTGAGGGTGATGGTGAGGGTGATGGTGATGGTGAGGGTAAGGGTCGATGGTGAGGGTGAGGGTGAACGTGAGGGTGATGGTGTGGATGTGGGTGAGGGTAAGGGGCGATGGTGAATTGGAGGGTGAGGGTGAGGGTGATGGTGAGGGTGGGGGTGGTAATGTGATGTTCATGATAATGGTGATGATAATGGTGAGGGTGAGGGTGATGATAATGTGATGATCATCCTGAAGGTAATGAGGGTGAGGGTGAGGGTGAGAGTGATGGTGAGGGTGAAGGTGATAGTGAAGGTGAGGGTGAGGGTGATGGTAAGGGTGATGGTGGTGGTGAGGGTGAGGGTGATAGTGAGGGTGAGGGTAAGGGCCGATGGTGAATTTGAGGGTGAGGGTGAGGATGATGGTGAGGGTGAGGGTAAGGGACGATGGTGAATTTGAGGGTGAGGGTGAGGGTGAGGGTGAGGGTGATAGTGAGGGTGATGGTGGTGGTGAGGGTGAGGGTGATGGTGAGGGTGAGGGTGATGGTGAGGGTGAGGGTTAAGGTGAGGGTGATGGTAAGGGTAAGGATGAAGCTGAGGGTGATGGTGGTGGTGAGGGTGATGGTGGTGGTGAGGGTGAGGGTGAGTGTGATGGTGAGGGTGAGGGTGATGATGAGGGTGATGGTGGTGGTGAGGGTGAGGGCCGGTGGTAAGGGTGAGGGTGATGGTGATGGTAAGGGTGAGGGTGAGGGTGAGGGTGATGGTGATGGTGGTGGTGAGGGTGAGGGTGAGGGCCGGTGGTGAGGGTGATGGTGATGGTAAGGGTGAGGGTGAGGGTAATGGTGAGGGTGATGGGGAGAGTGATGGTGAGGGTGATGGTGATGGTGGTGGTGAGGGTGAGGGTGATAGTGAGGGTGAGGGTAAGGGTGGTGGTGAGGGTGAGGGTGATGGTGAGGGTGAGGGGAATGGTAAGGGCCGATGTTGAGGGTGAGGGCCGATGGTGATGGTAAGGGTGAGGGTGAGGGTGAGGGCCGATGGTGAGGGTGAGGGTGATGGCGAGGGTGGTGGTGAGGGTGATGGTAAGGGTGATGGTGATGGTGGTGGTGAGGGTGAGGGTGATAGTGAGGGTGATAGTGAGGGTGAGGGTAAGGGCCGATGGTGAATTTGAGGGTGAGGGTGAGGATGATGGTGAGGGTGAGGGTAAGGGACGATGGTGAATTTGAGGGTGAGGGTGATGGTGAGGGTGAGGGTGATGGTAAGGGTGATGGTGGTGGTGAGGGTGAGGGTGATGGTGAGGGTGAGGGTGAGGGTGATGGTGAGGGTGAGGGTGATGGTGAGGGTGATGGTGAGGGTGATGGTGAGGGTGAGGGTGAGGGTGAGGGGAATGGTGAGGGTGAGGGTGAGGGTGAGGGTGATGGTGAGGGTGATGGTGAGGGTGATCGTGGTGGTGGTGGTGAGGGTGAGGGTGAGGGTGATGGTGTGTGTGATGGTGAGGGTGATCGTGGTGGTGGTGGTGAGGGTGAGGGTGAGGGTGAGGGTGATGGTGAGGGTGAGGGTTAAGGTGGGGTGATGGTGAGGGTAAGGATGAAGCTGAGGGTGATGGTGGTGGTGAGGGTGAGGGTGAGTGTGATGGTGATGGTGAGGGTGATGATGAGGGTGATTGTGGTGGTAAAGGTGAGGGTGAGGGCCGGTGGTAAGGGTGAGGGTGATGGTGATGGTAAGGGTGAGGGTGAGGGTGATGGTGATGGTGGTGCTGAGGGTGAGGGTGAGGGCCGGTGGTGAGGGTGATGGTGATGGTAAGGGTGAGGGTGAGGGTGATGGTGGTGGTGAGGGTGAGGGTAATGGGGAGAGTGATGGTGAGGGTGATGGTGAGGGTGGTGGTGAACGTGAGGATGATAGTGAGGGTGAGGGTAAGGGTGGTGGTGAGGGTGAGGGTGATGGTGAGGGTGATGGTGATGGTGATGGTGAGGGTAAGGGCCGA